CGCTCCTGCGCGGCCCGAGTCAGCTGACGAACCAAAACAAAGCGCTTCTTCCTCGTCCGTAAGTCTCGTCCTTCTCGTCCTTAAGTAAGTCTCGTCCGTAAGTAAGTCTCGTCCTTAAGTAAGTCTCGTCCGTAAGTAAGTCTCGTCTGTAAGTAAATCTCGTCCGTAAGTAGGTTTCGTCCTTAAGTAAGTCTCGTCCATAAGTAAGTCTCGTCCGTAAGTCTCGTCCTCAAGTAAGTCTCGTCCTTAAGTCTCTTCTTTTCGTTCCAAAGTGAGTCCAAGGGCGTCATTTCAAAACAAACCGCTTCTGCCTCGTCCGTAAGTCTCGTCCTTAAGTAAGTCTCGTCCTTCTCGTCCTTAAGTCTCGTCCTTCTCGTCCTTAAGTAAGTGTCGTCCTTAAGTCTCGTCCTTCTCGTCCTTAAGTAAGTCTCGTCCTTCTCGTCCTTAAGTAAGTCTCGTCCAAGATTGCCAGGTTGTCATTGAGAAATGTCTTTGTTATGTTTCTGCTACTTGACATGTCAGTGCTTGAGGCTGGAGGAATGACCAAAGGGGAATGACAGCGACAGTCGGTTGTTTGAAATTTAGTTCGTTAAATGCATGGTATGTAGCTTGAGATTTTAGGTGAAGATTGATTGTTGATAATTGTCAGTGGCCAGTAGTCATATATTTGCATATCCTGCTGTCGTGTAACTCAGGTATTTTTTATTTCTTTTCTACTCTCCCTTTTGTACCTTTTACTCAGAGTATGGAGTTGAAACATAAATAGAATTGCAGGTAAATTTCACTCTGATTATTTGTGTAAGCGTCAGATGTCAGTAGAGTTGATGTTATATTTTATTGAGTTCTTGTAAACTTGATAAGAACTTTCTGAGACTATTTTTATATACTAATATATTATTTATTTATTTATTTTTTGTTACAGTTTGGTATTCACGGTAAATGGGAAACAAAAGCAAGAAAGTGGGGTTTAATGTAAAGCAATTTTCATCTGTAAAATGTCCTTTGAACATTGAAAGACAAAAATTTAATAAATTGTTATAGATATGAAGTACTTTCTGTTACACCTCACAGGTAAACAAACAAATGATTTATTTCTGTTGTAGGTGATGTACACATGACCTTGATATTAAAAAAAAAATGTAACTGGAAATGAATAACTACTCTGTCCAAGAAATTTACTTAACCCAGAGGTTTCAGGAAAATATTGTATTCACCGTAATATTACTTTGTGAATAGTTTATGCACATAGATGGTTCTGCAAGTGCTTAGCCTCAAAGGAGTTACCTCACCTGACATTACCTTTCCTTGAATTTGAAGGGGAAATGTTTTTTTACTAATGCTATCAATATTGATGCTGTTATTTTAATTATAGACATTATAGTTATTTTAGTGTTATTGACATTACTAACAGCAATCTTAGATATCAGAAAATATTTTAAAAAATCAAGGAGAAATGTAAACAGTTGAGACAAGTAGAACTTGTAATTGGATCATTGGTGACTTAGTACTTGTGAAGCCATCTATTAATAAATTAGTAAATTAAACTCACAGTGAGTATTACATGTACGTACTGGTGGCTTGGGGTTAACACATACACACACACACACACACACTCACACTCACACTCACACTCACACTCACACTCACACTCACACACACACACACACACACACACACACACACTCACACTCACACTCACACTCACACTCACACTCACACGCACACGCACACGCACACGCACACGCACACGCACACGCACACGCACACGCACACGCACACGCACACGCACACGCACACTCACACGCACACTCACACGCACGCATGCATGCATGTATTCGCACACACACACACACACCCACACACACACGCTCACACAGATGCTCACACACACGCTCACACACACGCTCACACACACACGCTCACACACACACGCTCACACACACACGCTCACACACACACGCTCACACACACACGCTCACACACACACGCTCACACACACACGCTCACACACTCACTCACTCACTCACTCACTCACTCACTCACTCACTCACTCACTCACTCTCACACACACACACACACACACACACACACACACACACACACACACACACACACACACACACACACACACACACACACACACACACACACCCTAACACATGCGCTAACACTCACACTTTAAAGCACACACATACTCTAAAACACACACATACTCTAAAACTCACATACAGACACTAACACACAGATAAACACACACACACTCTAAAAAACACACACACACTCTAAAACACTCACTCACCGACTCACGTACATATCCACACATGCTTAAAAATACACACACAACACACATATTCACACATACACACCATCAACATTTATCTTTCATTTACTTTTAAATATATATTTTGTGCATCAAATAAACTAATGAAGAGAAATAGTCTTCCACTTTTTCAAATGTGAAAATGTTGACAGATATTTAGTTTTTTCTTTCTTTGATAATATGCTATAAAACATCATCAACAGGAGCATGAAGTCAGCATAAACAAGATGGTGCAGTGCCAGACTCGAAAGACGAAGAAGTCGTCGGAAGTCCTTTTTGACGATGACTTGAGCCCAGGAATAAACGTTTCTCGAGTGAGTTCCAAATTTTCATTTATATATAGGCCTGTGGGATGGATGAAATAGCTTTTAATGTAGATATTTTGGCTTGTTTATTCTGCTGAGGTACAGATTAATGGTCTTGCTACTGAACTAAACTAAGGGTTAATGTCATTTTAATTCATTTCGCTTCTTTTCCAGGATCAAGTGAAAATAACAAAGACAGCCATAACCGTTGTTGCAGGATGGATGCTGTTTGCATGCATGTTGACCATCCTCATCTGGGGCCTGCCTAATTTCGAGTGCGGTCTCTCCTTTTCTCCCTTTGCCATCTCCGTCAAGAATTTAAAGTATGTTGATCCTCACAGTGAAGGAGACTTGCTGAAGGCTAAGGAATACCAAGACTGGGTAAGGAACTGGCAGTATGGGAATAACATTTCCTTTAGGAAGGAATGCGGGGAAGAATGCTTAGATGGCAACGCTAGCAAGGAAGAGAATCCCTTGTTGCCTCTTGAGGAGCCTAAGAAAGTGGAAGGGAGCTTCTGTGTTGACATTCCTTTGGAGATGAGGTTTGACTGTCACCCTGATGGCAGCCCAAGTGAATCGTCATGTGTGAAGCGTGGATGCTGTTGGCACGAGCTCCAAGAAGTAAGTTGACATAAGGATGAAATGTAATTTTTTGATGATATGAAATAAATTAAGAATATATCCATAAATTGAGTGATTCCTAGCATAGTCTATACCTAGTGACCATTCTCAATTGCAGGTTCCAGAGCGAAAGGTATCCATTTCCTGCCCCACGCTTGCACCGACCGACACATGGCAAAGCCCTGGAAGACTTGCCGCTAAACATTCCTTACTGCTTTTACCCAAGAGACTATGTAGGTTACTCTGTAGTCAATTTCACCTCCGAGGAACATGGCTATACAGGCTTCCTGGAAAGGAGTGTTGCCAGTGTTTTCCCCAAAGACTCTCCACTTCTCCAGATGGATGTTTACTTTGAGACCGACACTCGCCTGAGAGTTAGGGTATGTGGTGTTATATGAAAATGCTTTTATTTTTTTTTTATTTTTTTATTTTTTTGCAAGACTAATCCTCATTTTCTTATTTTGGAGTTTCATATGCTGTGGTTAGTATTTAATGCAAGAAGTATTTTAAATTCATATTTGATGCTCAATGCTGCTGGGAAATGCTGTGTTCATTTTTAATTTTTTGTGAAATGTCTCTTCATATAGATGGCTCTGCTACTGCTTAGCCACAAGGGAGTCAGTTTGTAGACCTTGTGACCATACCTGATTTCACGTTTCCTTGAATTGGTGGGAAATTTTTTTTTTTTTTTTTTACTGCTATGAATATCGATGCTGTTATTTTTATTATAGACATTATAATTACTATCATTTTATAGATTTTGGTAAGAGCAATATAAGATAACATAAAGTATTTTCGAAAATCAAGGAAAAGGGTAAACAGGGGAGACAGGCAGTACTCATAATTGGCTCATTGGTGATTTAGTACAAGTGTAGCCATCTATGTTTAAAAGCAGTTTATAAAATAAACTCACAGTGGGCATAACATATATGTAAATGCCATGCCCATTGGATATTGGCTAAAGAGATGGTGTATACTTGTAAGATAGTTCCCCAGTGTATATATACTTACATTCGCTGTAGATTTCAGCATCATAATTTTCTGGGGCCTAAATCATTAGAGTGTGTGTACCTATACTATTTCACAATAACTATTGTAGATTATTACAAGCTGATAGTTATTTACTGCAGTATACAGTATGTAGGCCAGATATTCATGAGCTTACAGGATGGAATGGGCATATGGTTGATGTAGAAATGCAGGATACTGTTTCTTTTCTTACATACACATACACGGGCAGACACATACACGTACACGGCAGACACATATACAGCACAGTCACATGCACAGGCACAGACACACAGACACACAGACACATAGACACATAGACACATAGACACATAGACACATAGACACATAGACACACAGACATACAGAGAGACAAAGGACAGACAAGAGGCCAGAAAGATAGAGAGACAGAGAGACAAGGAGACAGACTGACAGAGAAGCAGAGACAGACGGAGGAAATTAGTGAGTGAGTGAGGACTTTTTCTTCTTCCAGATCACAGATCCCTTCCAGTTGAGATGGGAGACTCCAGTGCCCATTGTGCCACAGGTGAACAAGAGTGCCAGCAATCCCTCCTACAGTTTCCATGTCCGCAATGAGGATGGTGCCTTTACTGTTGTGAGAAAGAGCTCGGGTGTTCCCATGTGAGAAGAATCTTGTTTATGTTGCTTTATAGATTGAAATGCTTTGATGTTGTCATTTCTTAAACATTCAGTTTTTTTTTCATGAAATTGTTGATATGATGCTTGTATTAATGTGACCATATGTACTGTAAAGATGGATATATCTTATACAGGAAATTAATTTCTTTCATCTTCAAGACAATTGCTATATTTTTTTATTTTGTAGAATATAAAAGCTGTAAACAGTAAATGTATTTGTGTATGTTTTTCCTATTTTGATTACATAAACACTTTAAACTATTTTTATATTTTGGCAGTTTCGACACGAGAGGTGCAGCACCACTGACCTTTGCCGACCAATTCATACAGTTGTCATCTATGCTACCCTCGAATTACATCTATGGCTTGGGTGAACACTTGGAGGGACTCTTGCTGGACACATACTGGAAGCGTCATGTTCTCTGGAACTTGGACCAGATACCTGAACCGGGAGTTAGTATTTGGTATTGCCTGTGTTTGGTAACCAATTTTGAATATTTATTATGTAAGTGTAAATTATTTATTGAAAAAACAATTGTGTAAGAGTTTCTTTTAGTCTGTGCATGGTTATAAATAGCAGTTTGATATTTTGTGACTGGAAGTACTTTATATTGAAATAATTGATGATTATGTGAAAATAAGAATCTCTTCAGGTTCCTGGAAAGTTGACAAGATCTTAGTGAAATATAGGATTTTGGTGGCTTCTAGGACTGTTTCTGTATTGTGATCTTTTAGAAAATTGCCTGATACATATTTTTTTTTCCCCCCAGAAAAATATGTATGGAAGCCATCCTTTCTACCTATCTTTAGAACCAGATGGTAACACACACGGTATTTTCCTTCTCAACAGCAATGCCATGGGTGAGATTTTTCAGTTGTTCCTTGACCATATTTTTTTTTATTTTTTTTTATTTATTTATTTTTTTTTAAATGACAAGAGATGTACTTTTGTTGTAATTACGTTCCGAATGTGTTTCCTCCTCAGACGTTGTTCTCCAGCCCACACCAGCACTCACATTCAGAGTTATTGGAGGCCTCATTGACTTGTATATCTTCCTGGGGCCGACACCAAACGAGGTGATAAGCCAATACACTGAGGTGATTGGCCGACCCTTCCTGCCCCCTTACTGGTCGTTGGGCTACCACCAGTGCAGGTAGGGAAGCCTGGAATTTATACGTAGATGTAAATGTAGGAATGATTGTTATTCGATTGCTAAAATTTGTGGATAGAAGGAAGAGGAACTTTGTGATTTATTGTTATTACTAGAAAAGCACTCAGAGAGTGCAGACCTCCGCCAAGGTGCGTATATAATATATATACTTTGGTTGAGGATGAAAAGGATCAGACAGCTCGGAGTTTCTTCAAAAAAGAAAAAAAAGGCCCTCATACATAATTAAAACACAACAGTTTGCTTTTAGTTTAGAACATCATAATTATCGCTCGGATGTACTTGCACCGCTACTGCATCCACAGTGACACCCGGGACACGGCCAAGTCCAAAAATATTATGATTATCTTTTGGATGTACTTACACCGCTGCTGCGTCCAGACAATAATTTGGAATGTCACCAAAATTTAATCAGTTCTAAGTTAGTCCCTTTCTGACTTGTCCCCAAAATTTCGATGAAATCCGGCCGGCACTTTCTGAGCTATGCTGCTAGCAAACCAACAAACCAACAAACCAACGCTGTCAAAAACATAACCTCCTTGGCGGAGGTAATAATACTAAAGTCCTTGGGTAGAAATACCTTTGAATTCCCTTTAGAAGTTTGTGTCGTGTTCATTGTAACAGTTATTTCAGCTGGTTATGTTTTGTTCATTATGGGATGAGTCAAGTGATTTTATCAGATTTTTTTTTTGGTATTTGTTCTTTATGATGGTTATACAGAAAGATTCCCACATTGAATTTTTATTCAGATAAAAATGCTTGCAATATAAATACTGTTTTGCTCTGCTGCATATATTTGGTGTGAAAAGTAGAAGTAATACTTTTGAAGATAACATTTTGAGAGTGACTTACCAATGTCAGTAGCCATTCAGCAAATTTCAAGTATAATGAAACTTTTAGCCATGGTTTTGAAGCTGTAAGATATGGTGCTTGGAAAGGAATCAGCTCATATCTTTGCTTATAGGTACGGCTATGAAACACTTAATAGGACAAGGGACGTTTGGCAGAGAACACGAAAGGCTGGAATCCCATTTGTGAGTGCGGCTATGGGCTTATTTGATCCTGAGTATCATATTTGTAATTTATTTCTTCTGTCTGTTGTTTTATTTGTATTATTAATGTTAGAATGTGTTCCTTTTGGTATATCTTATGATCTTGATTTTAGTTCTTCCTTAAAGCATTGCTTCTGTGTGTGATGTTTTGATGTATTTTGATGATTTAATCTTTCCTGGTTTATTTCTAATCTGATTTCCAATTTTGAACCTTTGGTTTGTTGTATGTCTCTTCATTCTCTTTTATTAATCCTGCATATTCTAAAAATAATGGATATACATAACAATAATAATAAATTCTTTATCTAAAATTAATGAAACATTCTTACTCACAGGATGTGCCAGTGGAATGACATTGACTACATGAAACACAACAATGACTTCACATATGACCAGAACAACTATAATGGGCTTCCTGACTTTGTCGAGGAGCTTCATAGGGTATGCCACTCTTTTCTTTCTCTTTCATACTCAGTTCTTATTTTCCAGTTTTGTAAGTGCTGTCAGTGAAAGTCTATGAAAAAGAAGGAAAATAGGATTAGATTTAATAAGTTTGTTTGACAGGAAAATATTTTATAGACCTATGGTAAGATATGGAACAAAAAATTTTATCCTTACATATTATCAAGGGTACATTTGTTCCTGTTATTTTGTTATTACTGTATTTGTGCTGTTCAGATTTTTATACCATATGTTCTTAGTTTTGTTTCTTTGAAATCATAGCTTGTGTTTTGGGTTGTTTCAGGTACTTTGAAAGATCAAAAATGATTTCTGTGAATGTTTAATAATGTTAGACAAGCAGTTTTAATGTGTAAATATGTCGTAGGAGAGAGAAAAGTTACTAATCCTTTTTTTATGTCTTTTGTTATTAAAGGATGATAATATTAATGATACTGTTTAAAAGTATAAAGTCTGTTTTTTCTGAAGTAACCAACAGTACAGTCATTCGCAGGTAGCAGTAATGAAGATTTACAAACTTATTCATTTGATATTCAAATTCCTCATAGGTTTATTTTAATTGTATGAAAAGATAATAGGGAAGGTTAAAGTAAACTTCAAGTCTATTTAGAGACTGATGTGATGCCAAGGTAATATGCATATAACTGTAATTAATTATTATTAATCCCTTATCACTCCAAACAAATGTAAGGTGGCAGAGAAGAGAAAAACTCTTTCAAAGCATGAGAACTTCATATCTTCAGAGTGAGTTTTAATATCTTCAAAGCAGATGATATTTTCTTTTTCTAGAGGAAATTGAAGAGCATTGTTTAAATATGAAAGTAAGCCTTATTGAAAAAAGGATTATAGGAAAGGTAATACTGCCATGCATCGATTGGATACTGGGTAGAGCTACTGTCCAAAGTCACTATGGAGCAACTCAGAGCATTATCAAGGTTACAGACCTTGACTTTGCTGATCATGTTGCCATTCTTTCTGAATCTCTGGAAACCCTAGTGGTGGCTCTTGATGCATTTAGTAATGAAGCAAAGCCCCTGGGGCTAGAGGTCTCCTGGACCAAGACCAAGATCCAGGATTTTGGGGGCCTACTAGGAGACCCTGTATAGCCAGTACGTGCTTACGGTGAAAACATCAAAGTCACAGAGAGTTTTATATACCTCGGTAGTGCAGTTCACAACTCTAGCTGTCAGACCAGGAAGACAGTTGACAGATTGGCTTGGCAATAGGGGTCATGAAATCTCTCAACAAGAGTATTTGGAAATGCTGGTACCTGTGCAGAAGGACCAAGCTATGTGTCTTCAAGGCCCTGATACTACCAGTTTTACTTTATGGTTGTGAAACCTGAACGCTATCTTGGAATCTCGTCTTGATGCCTTTTGTAACAGATCCATGCGCCAGATCATGGGTTACAGTTGGCGGGACCATGTGTCCAACCAATGGTTGCACCATGAGACCAGTACAGGACCTGTTACTTGCACAATCAGAGATCACCAACTCAAGCTATATGGCCACTTGGCTCGATTCCCGCAGGATGACCCTGCCCACCAGGTTGTCTATGACCGAGGAAGTCATGGCTTGGGCAGATCGATCAAACCTGGGCTGGGCCCCAGCCTTGCGGCTCGCCATGAGGGACCCTCATAGGTGGAAGCGAAGGGTGGATGTGACTATGCGCCCTTGCCGGTGTTAGCTCCCAAATGATGATGATGATGATGATTTCTATACAGTTGATAAAGAGAGACAAAATTTATGGAGCTTGGTAGATAGTGTACCATGATATACCATATAAGATATTTTTTGTTGATTAACTACCTGTGCAACTATGCAATCATTGGCCATTTTTTTTCTTCAATATTTTACTGATTTTAGGTAAATAAGTGGAAAAAAGTGAAATTACCTTACTATATGCCTATGTCTTATTGCAGGAGGGTATGCACTATGTACCTATAATTGACCCGGGCATCAGTGCAGCGGAGCAGCCCCATACTTATCCACCATGGGATGAAGGGGTCCATTTGCGTGTTTTTGTTCGCAATTCAAGTAATATGCCTTTTGTGGGCAAGGTAGGTGTTTTTTCTGTGAATTATTTATTTTATTTTATTTTATTTATTTATTTATTTATTTATTTTTTTAATGGATAATTGTCATGCCGCTTTGTCAGGATTTCATTTTAAGGTGCCATTAATCAAAATACCAAGAATTTTTAAAGCCCCAGCATCACATGACACCATCATTTTCTCATTTTTCATAACAATTGCCAGTGCCATTGCTATTGCCATTAACATAACATCAACAGTAACTTCAATCCATCATCACCATCACAGTCACCATAATAGTTGTTTCCATTATTGTTGTCTTTGTGGTTGCAGATGTCTTTGTCATCGTCATTACATTCACCATCACTACAGTTAATAGAAAAGAAGGCATTTTACCTTACGAGTCACATAGCTCTAATGTTGTGTTTATATTTTTGCTTATCAACCTTGTAAAAAGATCCCTTTCTGATTCCTTGTAATTGTCATATTTAGAAGGTGACTGATTTGTAGCTTCTACCCTGTAATTATAAATTGATTTAGGATTTAGTTTTGTTCTATTTGTTACAATTAATTTTCTTGGTGTGAGATGCTGTCTGTTTTATTTTGCTTAAAAATTACCCCCTGTGTACAAGGAATGGCCAGGGTTTCCATCCACTAGTGGTGAGGGATCTGAACGCAGGTCAGAAAGATTGAGACGACATTGATACTGTTGCACCACACAGCACACTGTGTTGTTAGCAAGATCTAGAGTTAACCAGCACACTCTAGATATCCCTTAATTCTTGCTACACTCCTGGAATGTTCTTTAGACTGTAGAATGAGTCTTACTTAGTAGAATATGGGGGGAAAACCTAGTTATTGGATTAATTGATAGAGTACTCAGTAGCTGCTAAATAAGTGGAAGGAAGATATCCAGGAAAGGACTAAATGCTAATTCTTTAGCCCTTTGGATTCGGATGCCTTGCTGCCCGAACGTGGTCCCAAATTTGGGCATTAGGCTTACTTGAGTGGAGACTCCTGGGTGTGGCTTGTAGACCTGGCCCAAATGAACACTTGTGTAAGGTGTCAGGACTACTTTCCTCCCCTTTGCAATATTATTATCTATTTTTCTGCTTAGGCTTTTTTGCTTTTTTGTTATTTTCCAAGGTCTATATTTATCATTTGATATGCTTTATTAATATGGTAATAGACTGTTTTCCTTGCCAAATTTTTTCATGACACGATGGTCACGTCACCTGTATCCAAAGGGTTCAATATAGTGTGTACAAAGCAACTGTTTCAGGACCATTAAGCAAAAAGGAACCCTTTTGTCATGGCTGAGGACCAGATGTATTGCGAGAGGTGTCAGTTAGAATAATTCAACATTGGTTTCAGGAATACCTTCAGTTGCCTGGTCTGCAACACTCAGAAACTTATTTTTTAACGATAAAATGAAGTAACACCTTGATTTTTGCAGGAAATATATAAACTGAAAAGCAGAGGAATGGTAGTCAGTAATATAAATGTAAGGACATAGTACAGATATCAGTCACATTGAAATCTATAGAAGGAAATGAAAACAAAAGCTAGTGAATCTCAATATCAAGTGCTAACTGTATAGTACAAAAAAAATGTATATTGTAGGCTGAAATAGACTGAATATTTTAAGAATATTTGACAGCATATATGTTTTGTTCCAAAGGTAAAGGGCAAAATGACAAACTACTAGTAGTCACATGTAAAGGAAATTTTTTTTCACCCTAATATATTCGAAGCCTGATAAATCTTCTCTGAATGTGAATTTTTACTAGTGTGACAGTGTGGCTATTACCCTGACTGTATTGCTCACCATCACTATTGTCATCATATTCATATCTATATTCATATTCACCACCACCACCCGCCACCATATGTTTTGTTAGGTATTGGTAATGAATACCAATTCTTTTTACCTAAGTTATCCCTGCTAAGGACTTTCATATTAGGAATATGAAAGAAAATGGATTTTCTAACGGAGACTAAAGAAGATGAAAGTCTAATATTTATTATTTCTTAAAATGGCAAGATACAGAGAGAATGATATGTTGAAGGATTAAAAAGGATTGACAGTAATAATGATAATATTGTAAGTGATCTGACTAAGTGACTAAGTGACTAAGTCCTAGTAATTTTAACAAATAAAATATGCTCATAATAGCCGTTTTCAATTATATTCTTTTTCTTTCTCATTTTACAATTCCTGTACATGCTGCCACTATTCTATCTGTTTCTCCTGCATTTTGTCTATCCTTTGTTATGTAATTTTTTTAAAAACTTTTCTAACTTTTCTTATGTGACTCCTTTCTTATGTCACAATATCAAGCAGGTATAAGATACACCCAGATATTTGAAGAACATTCAGAGCGGTTCCTCGTATTTCCAGGTGTGGAATCCTGTTGCGACATCGTGGCCTGATTTCACCCACCCGAAGGCGACTTATTACTGGAGTCGACAGATCTTGCGTTATCACAGCAGTGTCCCTGTAGATGGTGCCTGGATTGTAAGTCTGTGATGCTCCTTTGCTTAAGATGTATTTTCAGTTGGTCTGTTTTGCATAGAGTGGAGGAGTGTATGATTTTTTATTCTCTCTTTCTCTCTTTCTCTTTTCTCTTTTTCTTTCTTTCTTTCTTTCTTTCTTTCTTTCTTTCTCTCTTTCTCTCTTTCTCTCTTTTTCTCTTTTTCTCTTTCTCTCTTTTTCTCTTTCTCTCTTTTTCTCTTTCTCTCTTTTTCTCTTTTTCTTCTTTCTCGTTCTCTGTTTCTTCTCTCTTTCTCTTTCTCTTTCTCTTCTCTTTTCTCTTTCTCTTTCTCTTTCTCTTTCTCTTCTCTTTCTCTTTCTCTTTCTCCTCTCTCTTTCTCTTTCTCTTTCTCTCTTCTCTTTCTCTCTTTCTTCTTTCTCTCTTTCTCTCTTTCTCTCTTTCTCTCTTTTTCTCTTTCTCTTTCTCTAACATGAAAACAGTATTAGATAGATAAATAGATAATAAAGAAACAGAGAATTAAGTAGCTAAATGGGTAGACATCAATAAATAATGAATAGAGAAAAGTGATTAGTAAAAAAGATAAAAAGAAATATGTCTATCTATTTAGCTGTCTATCTGAATCTTTATATGCAGCATGGCCGATTACATCTGCAAAATATGTGTGAATTAAGATATGTTTTGTATTATCATTAAGCTTTTGTAAATGAATATCTTCTGATATTTGCCAGTTTTATTTTTCATATACAACTCAGTGCTGTGTGCTATATACATATATTTAAAAAATTGAACATTGCTTTGCTGTTGGAATTTTATTTATATTTTCTGAATGGACAAAAAGTCAACTATAATGAAACATTTTTAATAGACCTTTTGACCTTACCTGATTTCATCTTTCCTTGAATTTGGAAAAATGCTTTTTATACTAATATTATCTATTTTTATAATAGATGTTGTAATTGCCATAATGTTATCGTTACTATAATGTTATAATTGGTGACTTAGTGCAAGTGGAGCCATCTATGTGCAAAAACAATTCATAAAGTAAACTCAAAGTAGGGGTGGCATGTATGTACATGCCATGCCCGTCGGTTCTTAGTTAAGCTTGCTATAAGAAATTTATTGTTACCTTGCTTGGAAATTACTTTGGTTTGATACTTGATTTTTTGGTAGTATTTAATCATTACAAAATCTTTCAACATTTCTAATCTCTTGTGATTTCTTTTTTATGTTTGAAAACAGAATTTGTTACTATACAGTGTTAATTATATAATCACCTTTTGTGTGTCCAAGGTAACATTTTTTTTTAATTATGAATTATGTACAGGGTTGATGCACCTGCCCTTTTTCTTTCTTTCTCATAATGATTGTCTGGTTTGAAGGAGTTTCCTTACATTTCTTGCCTTAAAGAATTCCATATCTGTTTAACACCATTATTATCTAGTTTGTAAAACCAGATAGCAAATCACAGCCAGCTTTTTGAGGTCTCTCCTATTTTCTTTTTCTTTCAGTAGTCCTATAACTGTAATTCTGATACGATGATTGTGCATTGCAGGATATGAACGAGCCCTCCAACTTCTTATCTGGTAGTACCGATGGCTGTGAGGAGAACAACCTAGAACACCCGCCCTTCCTGCCAGCTGTTCATGGAGGCATTCTCTATTATCACACAATATGCATGTCCGGAAGGCATTTTGTTGGGCGTCATTACAATGTGCATAACCTGTATGGAATCACAGAGACTATTTCTACTAACATGTAAGTAACTTCCGCTTAATCGTGAAAGTGAAAAAAAATTAGTTTTGTTAACCCATTGCCGCTGGGGAAAATGAACAAAAAATGGGTGAAATGCAGTACTCATTTTTTTATATTTTTGTGAAATATCTCTGTCCATAGATGGCTCTGCTAGTCCTGATTTCACCTTTCCTTGAATTGGCGGGAAAAAACGTATTTTTACTAGTGCTATACATATAGATAGTGTTATTTTTAACAGCAAATTAGGATAACGTTAAATATTTTTGTAAATAGATGAAAAGGGTGAACGGGCGAGACAGGCAGTACTAGTAATTGGCTCATTGGATACTTAGTACAAGTGTAGCCATCTATGTGTAAAAACAATCGAACAAATCGACTCACAGTGGGCATGGCATGTACGCACATGCCATCCCTGGCGGCAATGGGTTAATAATTGAACAAATTAATGATTTTAATTTTGTAATTTTCATATGAATTGAATGGGTTTGGGTTGAAATTGATATACTCTCTCACTGTATCTAAATTGTGCCATTAAATAAGTTATTATCACAATATGATCATCACATCCAGTTACTGAAGTATATGGAAGAGTCATACTTCCTTAACTTACAGGGCCCTTCAGATTGTAAGAGGTAAACGTCCATTTGTCATTTCCCGATCAACATTCCCGGGACAAGGGCATTATGGTGGACACTGGACCGGCGACGTTTGGTCTGATTGGTTTAACCTCTGGCAGTCTATTGCAGGTTAGCATGCTAGTGGTTTGGTCAGCTGTGTTTTGATTTAAATGGTAAGTGCAGGCAAACTATTTCAAGTTGCTTTTTGGATATTTTCAGTCTTCAGTGCATTCTGTCAAATTGACTTTCAGATCTAGAAGAAATTATTCTCTCACTGTTCTTCATGGCAGTTTGATCTCATCAACAGTATGAATGATTTAATTATATTGAATTATATTCAAATGTGAATGTCAGTAAATTTAAAATGCATTTATGTTATGCTAAATTGGGTCTACAGTAAATGCAAAAATACATGCTATATTCACATTACACATACAATAGCTCTGTTGCTCTTCAAACCTCTTTCTCTAAAACTCAGCATTGACCTGAGAGTAGAATTGAAATCTTGAAATAGATATAGGAATGTTATTTATCTGGTGTTATATTCTTATTTGTTTCAAGGATTTTGTGTGCAAATGCTTTAGAGGATCAGAGTATATAGGTTATATGACATAGAACTTAGAAAAGGGGATATAAATGATGAATAATGACTATGCATTTTATTTCAGGTATTCTGAATTTCAACATGTATGGTATCCCTATGGTGGGTGCTGATATATGTGGCTTTAATGGCAACACTACTGCGAGCCTTTGCCTTAGGTGGATGCAACTTGGTGCCTTTTACCCATTCTCGAGAAATCACAATACAGATGATGCCATTGTGAGTTTCAAAAAATAATGTGTGTGTAACTGCATCAAGAAGTAATTTGACACTGTTACTTTTATGATTGCTGTTTGCTGTAATTTCTGTCTCCTATGTTTTATTTTAGTGTAGAGTAGCATCAGTAATTTTCCAAATTGTGGAATTATTTTGTAGGGAGTATATAAGACTGTTGCACATTTTTATGGAAATGTGACTTGAATTTTGTGCTTTTTACATTGTGATAAATGGTAGGAGAGAGTAGATGTTACCAAGTACCGTGATAAATTTATGATATTTGTGTAGTAAGAAAATTCTGCTGCTTAGAGTACTCTACTACTATACTTAGAGTACTTTACTACTCTACTACTCTACTACTACTACTACTAGAGCACTCTACTACTATACCATAGGAATGTAAGTGTGAGATCAAGATGAATAAAGTCTGTCTCTGACTACGTCATGAATTTCTTCCAGGATCAAGACCCCGTGGCAATGGGACCGGAAGTAGTGACTGCTTCTCGAAATGCCCTGACTCAGCGGTACATGCTACTGCCGTACCTCTACTCTCTCTTCTTCAATGCGCATCTTACGGGTGAACCGGTTGCCAGACCACTTTTCTTCCAGTGAGTCTTTTAGACAGTGTTATGCATTTTTTTTTTATGGATGGGTGATATTTAACAATAGTAGTATTTAGGCAGCTAGGGAGGATGTTTGGATATCATGAATCACCTGAAGATATAATTCGCATACCACAGAAAAATTAAGAAAAAAAGAAAAGGGCAGATCTAAAAGTGGCTCTTCATATCAGTCAGCATAGTGAATGAAACTTTCATTATGTTAATCTTTGTCACTTTCATTATTAACTAATTGCATAGAAGCACTCAAAACCAGCTGTGAACATCAAATGACAGAAAGAGAAGTTTTATAATGAAGTTAAGCATAATATATTTATTAAAAGAAATTGAACTTCATAACATACCTAATTTGATAAATTTCATAGTTTGAGTATATATGCTTTTGGCATATATTAGATGGGAGATGAGAATGGAAGAATTACAGGGAAATATAATTCAAAAATATTTTTAAATACCCATGATATTTAGATTTTTTTTTTTGTATGCGCTTATATAATAATTTATTCTCAACAAATAAAGAATTGATATTAACTGTTTCATGCTAGAGGATGCTAATGTATACAATACACTTGAACTTAGTTTATGCTTTCATATCTATGTCTATGTCTATGTTTATGCTTTCATGTCTATGTCTCCATTCTGCTCTGGATCCAGTAGTATTTGAAGTTGATTCATATGTGTTTAACAAGAAAAATACCAAAGTATATTTGTCCCACAGGTTTTACAAGGAACTTGAAACCTACAGCATTGATACTCAGTTTATGTGGGGCCCAGCACTTATGATTGTGCCAGTGCTAAAGGAGGTAAGATTTTGAGAAATGTCAGTCATTTATAAAAAGTCAGTCACTCACAGACAAGAATATATGTATGCTAATTTGGTTAAGGATGTAAAGGAGGATGAAAGCTGCTAATGAAGGCTTTTGATATTGATATATCTAAAGCAGATGGATCAGTATGGAAAGTACACGCACACGCACACGCACACGCACACGCACACGCACACGCACACGCACACGCACACGCACACGCACACGCACACGCACACGCACACGCACACGCACACGCACACGCACACGCACACGCACACGCACACGCACACGCACACGCACACGCACACGCACACGCACACGCACACGCACACGCACACGCACACGCACACGCACACGCACACGCACACGCACACGCACACGCACACGCACACGCACACGCACACGCACACGCACACGCACACGCACACGCACACGCACACGCACACGCACACGCACACGCACACGCACACGCACACGCACACGCACACGCACACGCACACGCACACGCACACGCACACGCACACGCACACGCACACGCACACGCACACGCACACGCACACGCACACGCACACGCACACGCACACGCACACGCACACGCACACGCACACGCACACGCACACGCACACGCACACGCACACGCACACGCACACGCACACGCACACGCACACGCACACGCACACGCACACGCACACGCACACGCACACGCACACGCACACGCACACGCACACGCACACGCACACGCACACGCACACGCACACGCACA